ATTATTAACAGATTTAATATTAGTCTTTACTGTGTGCTGACTAATTTTACACTTCCTGGATGCGGGGCGCCGGTCTATGCGCCAGCCACATGAGTGTGTACGTAGCTCGAGAAACTTTTTGTGATCATGGGACCTTGGCCCGGGCTCTGACTGGCAGCTGCAGGTCTGGTCGCAGCGTCCATAGTCTATGGGTGCGTCCCGGACCCGCCCACTTTTGCTGTAAGCCAATTAATTTTGTCTTTATCTGCTTTTGTCTTCTGTGGTTGGACGTCAAAACTGTCCTTTGACGTTCTTATGTCTGCGCTTTCTGACACGTCACACGGCCTTTCCCCTCGTATTCTGCTGGATGACAGCTGCTGTCATGACGGCTTAATGCATTGGCCATGCTGCCAATGGAGAAAAGACTGCTCATCGAAAAGACTGCGTGTAGTAGACATGTAACTGGTTTTAACCACGGACAAATCTGACATGAGAACGCCCTAGTTTATTATTTTTAAAGTCATTTTGGTCACACCTGTCAGAGCACCCCACAGCCACCAAACAGCAGCTACCACAGCCTGCTGTGTGGGGCGTTCAGGGAGCATCAGTAAATCATAGCATCTATCAATGAGAAAATGTTCAGCAGGACATATGTTTTGCCTTTGACCAGGTGGGAGGTGCAACAAAATGAGAAAGTGGCTCGTACCGGTGCTACCGGTGAAAAAGTTTGTGATGGAAAAAAAAAGTTTTGATGAAAGTTAGATTATGATTAGAATATCCTCCAAAGGTAGACAATTTGCATTCCTGTAAATAGTTGTTCCTGATGTTACTCATATTCTAATTTCTGATTTTAAATAAAAGGTCATTTGTAGACTGCGCCCCCCCACCAAAAATTTTCACCAGCCGCCACTGCAGGCAACCCTACATCAATGACTGCGTATTTGTGTGTGTTGCGTACACAAAGCTGATGATAAGCAGCAGTTTGGAGACGCTGTAGAGAGCCAGGCCTCCGGGCAGGTGGTGGTGGTGCTCTGGACTCTGGTGTCTGGTCTGTGTGGAGCCCGCCACTTGTTTGATCCTCTGAATCACCTCCTCGTCGGTCGGTGTAGTAACGGGGCTGAGGGCCTCGTCCAGATGCTGGCTGCGCATGTGGGGCAGTGGCCTCTTCTTTCGCCTCACCGAGGAGTTCTTCACCACCTTCGCCTTTGGAGACAGCTGGTGGGACTCTGTCAGTATCTCCTCCAGCTTTGACAACTCCAACTCTGAGAAAGAACAGGAAGACATCTGTTCATATCACATGTTCTCATGCAAAGTCATGTCACCTTAAGAGAGCTGGGCTATTTTCAGGGTAATTTCACTTTTTTTAAAAAATCCGTTACTTTGGTAAATACAAGAGCTAGCCATAGATTCAGTACCTTGTTGTTCTTTCAGAACAGTCTTCGTTATCCAGATCTCCCATCATTTGTTATAACAGTTTCACATTTTTTCATACTAGCCTTAATATAAAGCTAAAAAAACACTGTAGTATAAAATGTGTATGCTCTGCTGTTTATTTTGTGGTATGTTGTTAAACCACTGGGACTTTGTGACTTATCCAAGTGAAAAGCTCTCTGTCTTCAAAATGTGATACTGTATTAAAGTGTATGACAGCCAGAATTTCAAATCCTTGCTTCTGCTCTGTCTTTTGATAGATTTCCCAAATCTATGCAATGATGCAGGACAGTATTCTCTTCTGATGCACATTCAAAATAATCTTTCTTGACAACACTTTGTCACATAGATAGGCAATTGGCATCACTGCAAAGGACAAGTATCGCAGTTTCATTTGATATTCTCTGCAATGAATACGTCCAAAGCAATTCAACGGAGAAAAAGGGATGTGAATTTGGCCATAGTACTTTTTGTTCATAGTTCAGTCCACATAGTTCTCCACATTCACATCGCATTTCTGTTCAGTAATAGACAATAAATAGAGTACTTATGTGATTCAAGAACAAAATCCTTTGTTATTGGTAAAATCACTTTTAGCAATGATAAAAACAACAATATTTAGTCTTAGGAGAGGAACCAACAATACACTTCGACTTCTAATGTGTTAAAACCACAAGAGTTTCATATTTTCTTTGTAATTTGTGTCCATGTTATTGGATGGTACCCCTGGTAAATAATGTGACCAACCACAACACTGATGTTTACCAAGATGGCGGAAGTTCTCCTCTAGTCCGCTCCAGAAGTTTTTCTCTATGAAGCCTTTCACAAGCCCCCACGGCTGTTTCCTGTAACGCAGCTCTGTTGATACCCTGTGAGACAGACAGAATAATATTGTTATATTGACACAAAATGGTAAATATAAACAGCTAAAACATAGAGAAAGCTAAGAAATTCTCCAAAAAATTATAAAATAAAATTGCATTAGCTACATAACTTGCCAATGCTCTAAATGTCTGATTGTGTCTTACCGTAACCGACACTTGTTCTTGGCGACCCTTGTGAGCATATAACGGTTGAGAGTGTAGAAGTAATCGTGGTAAGGAACGTCATGTGTGATGACCTCAGCATCGATAATGTAGCACTCGCTCTCCTGACTGGCTTTGTATAGAGTCTGACAGACAAAAATATTGATTGAAAAAAATATTACACTGTCGACAGAAGCCAAGTATAAGTAAAAAAAAAAAGTTTCTGTCCTACTTGTGTTGACTTTACCTGTGTCTCAGTGACTGTGGCTGTTTTAGGGGCCAAGGGGTTGGACAGAGAGATGGTGTACAGGATCTCTCTGGTCTGGTTCCCAGCCTCCTCCTTCTTCCAGGGATGGTACACCACATCTAAACAGTAAAGAAGGCAATAAGTATTTAATAAGGCTCGGAGGGGATTGCTCTTTTGGCATAAAGTATGTCCATAGAGGTCAGACATGAGATGAATGGATCACCAGTCCTGACCTGAGAATCGCCTCTGTTCCATAAAGTCACTCATGAACTGAGACTCTGTGAAGAGGATGTCATAGAGTTTGTCCACGCTGAACTTGTAGACCTCGTTGATGTACTGCCTGCCATTCAGATCCTCATGGAAGGCCTGCACCTCACCTGCACATCAAAGAACCACAAAAACAAATTAAAAATAAGAGGCGTCATCTCGTGTTTGTTTCCAAATCTATCTATATCATCCTGTTATGATTAGACAAATCAAATAAGGAGCAGTCTTCCCAATGCATTATGTACTTTATACACATCTGAAAATTGATGTGTATATTCTGTTTCCTGCATTTACCTTCATCGTGTGTTTCTGAGGAGTCACTGAGCTCAGTGGGGATGTCTTCGTTGTCGTTGAAGTCCAGTGACGGTGAGGGGACAGGACCACCAGGCCCGCTGGTCTCGTTCTTCTCCTCCACCAACAGAGGCACAGCCAGCAGCTCACCGTCTGGTAGGCAGTCTGCATATTCCTCTGCTGGGAGCTCAAACTGTGAAAAAGAACAAGACAGGCATTGATCATCAATGACGTTCTGTTTTAAAGGACCTGCGTGTGGGATTCAGTGACCTCTAGTGGTGAGATTGCAGACTGCAACCAAATTAATATTTATTTTCCAATTGCATAGAGAACCTACAGTGGCTACCACTTCAATGTAACACAAAAGGCCTGCGTAAGAGCCAGTGTTTGGTTTGTCCCTTTTAGATTAATGAAACATGAAGCGAGAAGGACCAGCTTCTTGTATAGATATGAAAGGCTCATTTTAAGCTAACCAAAACACGTGGATTTACAGTTAGAGGTGATTATGCCTTAAAAAAAAGACATAATACGAAAATTAGATTCCATTTCTGTTAACAGATCCCACTAAATCTTACACATTGGACTTTTAAATCTTGTCAAGCCAATAACCTTAATTTATACTGAGACGGACACAAGTTGCACTTAATTTCACCTTTGCAAACCACAGGGAACACAGTATACAACATATATACTTTGTTTACTGTGGTATGCAAAGGTGAAATTACTGAACTTACTGTGATGGGTGTGTCATGGTTGCCAGGGCTGGGGATGGTGCTGTTTGGGATGACCTTCTTATGTAGTAGAGGAGGGCTCCCCTCAGGCTTGGCCTCTGTGCTGCTTTTCGACAAGTTGTCATTGTTGATCTCATTCTCTTCATTGGGAATCTCTTCACTGAACCTGAAGACACCACAGAACCACAGAACCACAGCAGGCAACCTTAATCAGTTCTATCTCACCTCCTGGATAAGAGTCTTGTAATAACTACTAGTGTTTGTTGAGTTCTTATGGTGTGATTTTGCTTATTGGGCCCTAGAAGATTTTTTTCAGTATTTGATGAGGTAAAACACAGACGCAAGAACCTCAAATCTATTTTACAGTGGATATATATATTACATTAACATTTTTGAAAAAAAATGCCAGGGAAGCAAGTGAAAATGATCTCTACTTCAATTTACTAAAAGATATGCCGACGGTAATCCCTTATTAAGCCATAATCACTTCAGGATCTCTATGGAGCTTTACATTTGACCTCAATTCAAGCTTTGAAGTCATGTCTTTTCTTGTCCATTGTCACTGGAGACCAAATACATTCAAACCATAATTCTTTGTTGATTTCTCTTCGTAAACCCTCTTCAGGCATGAAAAAAGAGACAGAGCATAGAAAGATCTTTCACACCTTCAGACAAATACAGTATTTACTCTCTTTTCTCTTTATTCATCTTTTGCAGACTTAAAGTTTTTCCAGTTTCTCCGTTGATTCAAACCCAGCTGATAAACCAAGAAGTTTAACACAAACTCTTCATTTTGCAGTGCAAATTAGCATAGAGCTAATCTGAGGAGAAAAGGATGTTAAGTGTGAAATTGCGTATCTAAATGGATTACCTGAGAGAGCAGGAGTGAGTGTGGATGGTTGTACCTGAGTGAGCATGTTAGTGTTGTTTGTTATGGCTCATATTGAACCAACTAATTATTTTCTAATTTGGGTAATTAGGTAATCAACTGAAAATGTGGTAGCCATATAAACTCATGCTGCAGCGTAACCAGACTCACCCCATGGTGTTGAAGTCATCATCAGGGGGAACATAGTCCTCATCGTCACTGGTTAGGCCAAGCTCGTTGCCATAGCACTGATGAACAAAGTGCCACAGTTCTTTGGGGCACAAGGGCTGCAAAAGGCATAAACAAACCCAAATGAGGAATGAAGAGACTTGAGAATACTTCATTGTAAAATCTGTGAGAAACAAAGAGCGGCATGCAACATTTCCTTGCCGTGCAATCGACCTAAGTGAAGCAAGTGTACTAAAACTCTGTTTCAAATGGATATGCTTGCAGATCGCATTTTCGTACCTTATCGAGCAGCGCATTCTGCCACAGTCTGAACATCATCATGTACGTCCTGTCCCGGGCTCCAAACGAGGTGAAGAAGTGCTGTGATGAATGAAAAGCAACCATGTTTTAACCAGCTTACCACTGAACTAAAATCACACTAACCATAGAAATTAAAGTAGAACTACTTTGAGAAGCAAGATTTAAATCCTTCTAGTCTACGATTATTTTAATTCCCAGTGGCCTATTTTGGCAATGATGATAGGCATTAATATCTTTTCAACCATTCTCCAGACAGTTGTGACAGAAACATGCCCCCCACTATTTGTGATAAAGATTAAATCACTAATCTTCCTGTATCAGACAGACTTTATATCTCAAGTCCTCCCTAGTGTCTCTTCTGGTAAAGATGATTAGATTCAAAACATATTTACAGTCATGCACATTTCTATAAAAAAAAACAACGACAACAACAACAACAATAAAAACAAAAAGTCCTTATTCCGTGATTCTTCATCACTTACCTTCTCAGTGTCTGTGCAGACCTGGATGGCATTGGGAATGAGGCGAGCGGTCTTCTCTTTCGTCATCGAGCAGATGTCCTTTAGTCGCACTGTCAGCTACATGCAAACACATGCAAATGCACACAATTATACACTCACAGAAACACACACACGCACGCACACAAACACACATACATGCACACGCACACACACAACCCGATACTGCCAATATAAATGCACAGAGGTGCAGTGACTTAACAATCATACCAGTGTTTCCCAGCGGAAGATGTTGCTATAGAAACAGATCCAGTTCTCAGAGAGGTAGAGTCGTCCCTGCAGGAGGATGTCCCGCTGAAGAGCACAGGAGTAGTCTGCAACGCACACAGCATCAGGGAGGAATTACCATCACACACCAAGTATGATGGAAAATTACAAATGATAACATTAACATATGAAAATAACAAACAACAGCTCAGATACAGCAAACATAGTAATATTCTAACAAGTGTTACTTTTGTAATGTAAAAAAGTAGGTCATTTTTGCATTTCAGTGGTGTGTACATCTTGTTTATTAGATGAGAGCTCCTCATCACCATACCACAAGTCAAGGCTTTTCAGACAATGACAGTATTCATTAGAGAAAGGGAAACTCATGCAACAACAAACCAACTAAACTTGTGACATTATGAAGGAGTGCAGGATGTACTGTAACTTATAGTGCAGGCAAAGTCTGTCATCAGGTTGTACGTTTCTCTAAAATAAGCAGGAGAGGATCTTTAAAAACAGTTTACAAATTTTCGACATTTACAATCATACCATGATGCAAGACGCTTGAAATAAACGATATCTGTCTGTGTATCCCCTCTGTTCTGTGAAGATTAATCGTTTTCTGATTACTAGCAAGCTGTCTGCACCCTCCAGACCTCAGATGGCCCCAGTGTGTCCATGGCGTCCACTCACCCACAATGAGTCTCTCTGTGTCAGGGAGCTGCTTGAAGAGTTTCCTAAAGTCCTCATTGCGCTGCTTGTATGTCGGGCTCAGCACCTGCAGTGACAGGCAGAGTCAGAAACACCACACACACTCACACATATAAGCGTCCAAAACTCACACTTGCATCTTCATGCTCTCTCACTTGCTCACAAGTGTCATTGCGGGTTATTTTGTTGTCCATGAGCACGTGAGACAACCTTGTTAAAACCCCCCACACGTTTGATCAGGATGTCTGGTTTACTTTTAGCCATACCACGACTCTCTCTCCGTGGGGGATTTTAACAAGTGCTGGAAATGGAAGTATAGTGAATGGCAAGCAGAGGTATGTAGCCTGAGTTATCTGTAAGGCTGCGTCGCTAATCATTCTCAATAACAGAGTGACTGAAAGCGCAATCCATACAAAATCAGCCTGGTGCAGATCATACAATACACATGCTGCTGTAAGTACAATTTAGATGTAATAACATGAGTCACATTTGCTTTATAGAGCAACATGTTTCTAACAAAGAGGCTTTTGTTAAAGGGTAGGACAACAGATGAAACCTCAAGTGTAAACAAAACTCTACAGAGTGGATTGATTACCAAAGACAGTCTTTTCAGGTCTGGGAGAACTATCCCATTTGCTATGATCACACTTTCTCTTTTGCTTGGCTTCGGCAGACTTGATTATTTGCAGAGCGAGCCTGTGATGTATAAAATCTTCAAATGTGTGCCAAAGTGAGAGCTCTCACTGTCCGTGCCAGATGCTTTCCTTCAACAGGAAAGCTTCAGGAAACAATAGCTGCCAATACGGTAACAAGAGGTATACAGAAACAAAAGAAAAACATATATTCCTTTGGATCGGGGCTGGTGGGAAAAAGAACTGCACTTTCATGTTCAAGTCTTGTGTTTAAAATAAATGGAGTTGAAACACTCTTTGGGAGTATCCCTTTCTGCTCCTACCCGCCTTTGAGAAACATGCAGGGATGAAGAAAACCTGCCCTGATGTCACATGAGTGACAGCTCTGAAATTAACTGCACACACCAACATGATTTTAAAAGAATTTTTCCATTTCTAGGAACTACCAAACACACACCTACACTGTTCATAAGTTTAGTTACTCACTTAGTAACCTGATGATCACTCCAAACAACAGGCCCCTGTGAGCTCCAGAAGAGTTCAAATAGCTATGACTCATTACCAACCCAGTTGTTTTATTTAGTGGTGGGGATTTACCGCAGAAATATGCTTACAGCAGAATACAGTAGAGACAATGCTTGCTACGAAACCTTTCTTCTGACCCCCTCCTTTGTGATTTTGTCCTGTTAGAGCTAAATAAATCTAAACCAAAACATTTCTAAAGTTTCTGCATGTTTTTTCCCCTCGCTCTCCCTCAAGCGGAGCTCAACTTACAGCAGGAATCTCCTCAGTGTCCCACTCGGGGTCCTGAAGGTCCGAGGCAGCCCAGCCCCACTCCCAACCCCACTCCCCTCTAGCTGGACCCTGCAGAAGCCACCCCGCCAACGCCTCATCCAGCTCCAGCACAGCCTCCCACTCCGACATCGAGCAATCCTCATCCACTTCCATATTCGCTGTGCCAGATCTCCTTGTTGGCGCCTGGATGGAAGCGAATTTTCCAAAAGCGTGGCCCGAGTGGGCTCCTCTGACGTTGGAGGACTTCGTCAGTTACAGAAGGTTTGGAAAATAAGAGCAGACAGATGGTGAGTCCAGTGGTTTGGAAGCTGCAGTATCCGCCCCCTGTTTTGGGTGCTGCTCCCTTTCAGTGTTGAGCAGTGGACGCGGCGCACTCCAGCCACATGATCCTTGTCTCGCTCTGTCGTTCTCTGGCTCTCTCTCGCTTCCTTTCACACACACAGGGAGAGGAGTTACGGCCGTTGCCCTCTAGTAACCCTGGCCAACAAGTCCTTTATTATCATGCCAGTAGCGTTTTCCTTTTTTTTTCTCTCTCTGCTTACTCCTCCTAGTAAGTATGTGAGCAGAGTGTGTGTCTTGCTGTCCAGGTCTGAGTGCCTTGTAATTGGCCTGTTTACGACCAGCAAAAGAATGAAGTAAGTTTACTTTGTGGAGAGGACTAATACAAACAAAGCTGCGGCTGCAAAGTGAGAAGCCGAGGAAGAAACAGAACAGGATTGAACAAAAACAAAAAAATAAAAAAGAAGAAAAATAATGTTTTCAGTCCGTTGAGGTATGTGTAGAGTCCGTCTTGCTCTCTGACCAAGTGATTGAGTTACAGAGAACAGATGTGAGTATAACCTCCAGTTACCTCCGCCTGCAAAACAACACCATCAATCTTGACAGGGTCTGCACTGGGTCACAGGCCAGAGCTAAAATTGCAGAGTGAAGTGGTTGAACAAATATACTGTAAATAATTCTTTGCTTATTTTATTTATAAAAAAAAAAAATTAAAAAATGCTGGAATCCAAAAGAAAGGTATCAAAAGCTCAGATTACTGATGACTCCAAGGAACGAAAGGCACTGAAGGTATGAAGGCGTCTCTCCCTGCCTTGGTATTGAGGCCATTCATGTACTCCTGATACTTGATCGCCGTCTGCTAACAGGCGAGAAACATGCAGAGTTCACAGTGCCTATTTTAGCAGCCCTTAAAAAAACAATTGATGTGCATGTCCTGCTACTATTGTTGGCTAAAAATATTTCAACAGTCAAGAAGGTGGGCAGCTGGTTAAATTTCTTTGACTCCGGGTGGATGAAACAAATGTGTAACCCACATTTGAACGTTGGAATTCAGAATCCACGAGTCCCACCTTTTCTCTGCAGTTATTTCCCAGTCCTCTCCCTTTTAACCAGATGCTGAGGAAACAATCCGAAGCAGGAAAAATAGATGAGTCTTGGAAAATAATCTTCAGTCACAGGCTTCTTGGAAAAAACGGTGCTGCCGCAGCTATAAAAAGGGCCTTCATCCACACTGCAAGTGCCTTTACATAATGTGGATGAAACTTGAGGGTATGAGGGGTCATCCCTCAAAATGACTTGTGGTGTCCATACTGAAAGACATCCTGTATTTCTGCTCCATCATTTCATTTTACTAGATAAATCAAGCACAGAAAGAGGCCATTGTGGCTGATGCAGCATCCAGACTGCAGGTGACAGTGTGAGACTCAGGATGAGGCGGGACTGCAGATAAACAGCGTGTATTGATTTGGTTAACTATTAACTTTCTGAACAAATAGTCGGGGATGGAAGAGGCTGGTACTGTAAACCAGGGTGGGGTTTTAGTGTACTGGGGGAAGTGAGTGTTTATCCTAGAAACAATAAACCCATCATCATTAAACATGGCTGCTTTTCATTTGGTGGAAAGTCAGGTGAGGTATGAGGTGAGGAAGCACTGACGCATACACTATCTATGTAGATCTAAAAAAAAAAAAATTAATTACTAATTAATACTGTCTAAAGTACAGATCTCGCTTATCACACTGTTTGTTGGTGTGTTTCCTCTTGTTGCTAACTTCCTGAAGCCTGTGGGTATAGTTACCACACAAGTGTTGTGACAAACTTGTTCAGAAGCAAAGCAGATGAACAGGCGCTTTCACAGGGAAACAGTGTGTACCTCATACAGGCTCAGAACTCACATCAGAACGGATTGATTTTTAATCACTGTGGTTTCAGTGCCATGGGAGATCATCACTGCCATGTAGAGATGAACTTACACACACTGTCTCACATATAGGTATATAAAGGTACTTACAAATACAGTTAAAGTCGAATGAACCAAAAGCATCTGCTGAATTTATTTCACTGGTTGATTGAGACTAGTGTAGAAGATGTCAGGAACACAGCCGTGATACCGAGGAAAATATTTCATACTCAATTTGTTATTAAAAATCAGCTGTCCTATCCCAATGCCAAAAAGACAAAAAAGCCAAGAAAATCATCTATTCTCATAAATCTTTAGGTGTCATAAGCTATTAGTCTTAAAAGACTAATTTTCCTAAAATCCACAAAAGATTATGTCAGTGTGGTTTGAAGACTGTGCTTGCTATCAGTGGACTTCAGAAACACACATATTAATAAACGAATTACAAGTGATTTCAAAAAGTTTCTACAAGTACTTTGTGTGGTATTGCTCAGCAGCAGGAGGAGAAGTAGGACAATGTTGGGCTGGGTTGACTGGTGCAGCTGTTGGATATTGTCTAAGATACCTTTCTTTGCTTATACAGTAGTATGGTATGGTTAAGGACCCAGACACAGACCAGTTATCACCAGTGAGAGACAGGTACGCCAGTTTGATAATCACTATTGCAAAGTACTTTGATAGTCTCAGAAATGTAAGCTCTGCACTGTGGGGCAACATGAAGGAGCACATAGTGTTTGTTATGTTGTTTATGTAATGTATGTGTGGTTGGGTGTAAGTAAAACTGTTTGCTGCACAAGCCCGTCAGGAAAACCTACACCCATACTCGGAGGTGTTACTCTACATTTTTCATATTGTCAGCCTTACAGACAGTAGAGTCTTTTTATGTTCTGACTGTTTTTGCCGTGTCCGTGACACTCAGCCCGAAGCTCATTCGATCCTATTGAGGATGTGACGCTTTAAAGTTCCTCTCTGGTAACTGATTAATCTACTGAAAACTCATCTTTGTGTAGCAAAGCTACAAATTGAGAAGGTCTTCACCATGTCAATAATCCAGGTATGTCTTTTAATGACTTAGATGTGACTCTGCAAAATAGTTTCCTCCTGAATTTGCAGTCTTTGTGTCCATCTTCACCACTATCCTCCTGCACCTGCTGCAGCTCCAACAGACAAGTTCACTACGACTCTGCTCAAACACAGTAAAACTACTCCGCACTACACAACGGCAAGTTGCAATACTGTAAAAATTCAGCTATACACGTTCGAACAGAACACCGATTCAGTAAAAGAATAATGATACAGAAAGTCTCAGCCTGCAAGTTGACAGAATTGGTCCTTTGGGTATGTTGCCATGGTGATGGCGGCACACATAGACACAGCCCTCTTCAGGAGACAACGAAAGTGAACATTTTGAGTTTCTTGCCTATCCCAGACGTTCAGTCCGCAAAACTTACAAATGAAATGAAACGCTCTCTCATCTTGCCTGTACTATTGTGTATGTACAGCAAAATGACAATTAATTTGATTTGATTTGATGTTGTGTATGAAGCTCCAGAGGTCTGAATTCATGTTTTGAGATCAGTAAACTGAAGCTTTAATGCTCAGCCATAGTGTTTTATGCTTATTTTGTTCATGAAATGTCTTCTAGCAAACAAAAAGCACCAAATGGAAGTGTTAACAAGGTAAAAAACTTCATTTTTATCAAAGGAGCTCTTTAAAATAGGTCACACACACTGTACTGTGTATAGTTTTGATGTAAATCCAGACTGTGTAATGAAGAAATAAACCCTGAGCTGTTTTTCAGGGTAAAAAGATGAAATCAAAACCAACATATACAGTATGCTTTTTTTCCATCCAATACAGTCTTGACTGGTTGGGTTTGACTGGTAAGCTTATGGTGTGTAATGTGAGCTGAGCAAACTGTAGATAGATACAGCTGTACTTTCACATTAATCAGTAACTGTAACTTACTGTAAGCCGACGTACTTTAAGTCCTCTCTACTCGTACTACTGTTCACTGTGTTGAGTATTCTTCATTATCTTTGACTTGCCTTTTGTTTTCACAGCAGTCACTCATGAGCCCGAGTTATTTTCTACAGTGTAGTTTTGAGCAAATGCTAGTCAGATTGGGTTAAAAGTGTATGCTTACTTTTCAGCTGCAGATTGATACACTACGTTCGTATTTCAGGGAGCAGAAAGATGGGATTGAGTCAAAATAAACAACACTTGATTTATATTGTGTTGTCACCCAGTGCAACAGTGTGACTCACTGATGTGTTTTTTAAAATAGCTTTTGGACAACAATGCAAGTCTATTGCACAAAGAACTGAGATATATAAGAAAATACTCAGTTGGATCAGTTCACTGTTGTTTTGGACTGACTTGGATTTATTGACAATAGAAAAGAAAAAATAGAATATGTCCAGTTTTATCATTTAACCCTTCGAACTGTATTACACCATTTATTAGAACCAGAGACTAGAAAAACTGAGAGACTCGGCGGATTCACAAATTTCTGATGGTCCTTGAACTAATCATCAAGGATGTGTTGTTACATCAGCTTAAAATTGTGCTATTTATTTCCAAATCACTTTTTATACATTTTTCACTTAACAAATCTTCAAAAGAAAATGATTTTTTCAATTCATAAGATTTAGTAAAAAAACAAAACTGTGACAGTAGAATACTTAGTATGGAAACATTAAAAATACATGTAGTAGAATATCTATAGCATGTGGAGCCAACTTTTAATGTTTCAGTTATATTTAGTATCTGCTAATTCCATTTATTTTAAAAACATTTATTTATTTAATTAAATTTTTGTACAATTAATGACAGGAACGCAACTTTCATTTTTGTTTCATCGCATTATAACTGTGTCAAACTACACAGAGGACCTTTGTGGGCTCTCCTTCTAGTCATGGTTACGCTGATTCCATAGATGTGCAGGAATTTAGGCTACAGCCTACAGTGACTGAAAATGTGACAAGAGCAAATAAATGCCGAGAAACTACTCAGAGGGTTAAGAAAACTTTGAGACTGAGTTATAAGAACTTTAAGGTTACGGAACATTTGAAGATTATATATTTATATCTGTTGACCATTTTCTGTGTAGTCAGTGCAACATTAACAGTATTCTACATTCTACTTGCTATGCTTCCTTCATAAAAGTAGATCAACAAAGGAAATGAGAAGGGTTTATTATAGGTGAATGTGTTAGAAAAGCATTTAGGAAGCTGTCTGGACTGTTGGACCAAGCCTCTTTAGAACCCAGCAGCACTTCTCACTATATGCAGGGAGGTCTTTGTGTTGTCCTCCTTTTGTAAATCCCAAACCCTAAAGCCAAACGGTCTTGGTGTCCATATTTAACAGGACATGAGGGAAAACAAAGTCGGGCTGGAGGGAAACATGCCACAACCTAAAGCACCATGCTCCATTCCCACGGCTCGTCCAGAGGCCCTTGTGATGGTTTGTTGATTTGTTTAGTACAGTGAGGAACTCAGTGCGCTTGTTACCACCTGTTGCATGCCAGAAATAGAAGTTTGTGTGGTGACATGCCTTTGACCACATCTGAGGGATTGGAAAACAGAAACTCTGAGCATTCATACAGTCAATGCTCATTTAAATGGAATAAATAAGACCACTGGCAAAGAAGCAGTCTGTAGTTAAAACTAAACGGCTTTAGTTGGGCAAATATTGAAGATATGAGTTGATTTAACTTCACTCCTCTAGAGTGTGGCTTTGCTATTAGGTGATAACAACACTGAGCGAAGTCAATGGAATGAGAAACAGGCAGGAGGGACGTTAAAATCCCACCAGTCTGGGAGCAAGAGAGACAGAAAGATATCCAGGGTTGCACAAGAATACAAGTCATGCTTACTCTCAGGATGTGTTGTCTTTCATGCTGGGGAGAGAGGGGAAGAGTGTACACACAGGGAATAAAAAAAAAGGAATAAAACAACATAAAATGGGAAAAAAGAAACTCCAATAAAGATACTTCTGGAGAAAATAAGTTTCCAACGTAAGTCCGACACACTCAATCTCGCTTAGTCTGTGGACTTAATGATATATACTGGCACGATTTAGTGTAAAAGTTGGCTGAAAATGATTGCTAAGATTTCATCTGCGAGAACAGTGATGGTGTCAGAAATAGTGTTAGGACACCACCTTGTGGTGTAACACTAGACTGCAACACTGTGGCTTGGTTGAGACTAAACTGAGTACGTCATGAAGAATAATCTTTTGTAAAATATTTAAATGTTACGTCTTGTGTTTAATGTATTGCACTACTGCAGTCATTTTATTTTCCTGCTTCCCTACATTAGACCACCTGTTGCTCTTTAAAGCCCACGCTAATTCCAGCCTGGAGGACCAGTAACCCACATTAGACGTTTGGTGCTCCAGTAAACAGGGTCAAGGACAATGACCTTTCAATTCCTAAGCAGTGTTTGTCACTATAACAAGTCCAGGACACTTCAGGAGTCACACGTATGACATGAGCACACAGCAACACACACACACACACCCACACCCACACCCACACACACACATCCACACACACACGCACACGCACACAAACCTTAAATGACAAAAAAACACACAGTGGAAATAAAACAAGGTTTGACTTACGTTGTACCAGCTTTGGCTCTTCTGTGGAAAGAGAAAAAGAAACAGGAAGAGAGAGGGTATTTAATACTGTGAAACAGATATACACACAAGGTATGAATCATGATCATCCTTCTAAAAAGTACAGCAGGTGTCAAAGTCCTCCTGTATCTCACACACACTTTCCTGACAGTATTTACAGTGAAATATCAACACTATTCAGATTATGTGTGCCATTTTGAACCTCAAAGTGATGTGGGAAATGCAGGATGAAATTCTCTTTCAGTTCACTGATTTATGCACTTCAAAATAAATAAAAAAAGAAAAGGATTTCAGAGGTAAGTCTGCTCCTTGATCAGGTGGAACTGAAAGTAACTTCACTCCAAACCTCATGTAGAGTGTTAGCAAACTGTGTTACTGGGCTTTTATTTATTCAACACTGTCCTATACTATGTCCATCTCTGTTTATAAAAACCTTTCTGTTACCTTTCTGGAAATAAGCGTTTTGAATATGAATCTTTTACATTTGTCTGATTTAAAACAAACAAACAAAAACATCTTTGTGAGAGCTGTGAAGATGCCGAAGTAAATTAGTTGGAATAAATGCTTCTTGGTTTTTATGAAATATTTCAGTGGTCCCTTGCTGTCACATATTTTTGTGTGCTCTTCATAAACAACCAGTTGATTATGTTACACTTTTATACCAGCAGAGGGCAGCAGAGATATTTCCTAATTGTGACAATGACATTACATTTTCCAGCCATATAGACACACTTTCCATTCTGATAGTCTAAGAGCAAAACTCCAAGACAGGAAACATGCAGGTGATCATTCAAAGGGCGAAACAAGGAAGAGGAAACAAGAAGGGGAATAAAGGCAAAAAAAAAAAAGAAAAGAAAAGAAAAGAAAAGAAAAATCACACAGCATGTGTCGGATGACAGATGTAAAATAAATAAATCACTATATTTTAAGATGAAGCAATAGAAAATTAACGATAGATACAATTTTACATTTCTTTCTTTAAGGATGTTTTGATTATAGATTAGTTTGAATAGCTGTAGTTTGACCGTTTGTAGCAAGAGCACTGTTAAACATTAGCACATTTCTGTTTACTTGATAAGACTAATTATTATAATATAATTGAAGACTGAGACAAATATTATATGTTAATTTGGGTTTTGAACATTGTATTTTCATAATTAGCTTTACCAAAAAACATGCATCACAAGCTAAATTAAGTACCACTAGCTGTAAATTTGTCATTCCAAACACCAGAAACAATTTTCTTTTCATCCTGAGTTTTGTGTGTGCCTGTTGCTTTGGTGGTTATCTGCTGTGTGTGGCGTCAGCGAGCTGCAGAAAGAGGCCCGAGGCCTGGCTGTGACGATAGCTGCGCTAATGTGGGCTAATCTGATTTGAAGGTGACAGAGACACGAGAGAGGAATTACTTTGAGGCCACTGTCTGGATAAGGTGTGCATGTGTGCCACTGTGTTTGACTTTGTGTGACTGTAAGCTAATGAGGCTGTGAGATTTATAACAGAATTGTTTTAACAAATATAAACGAGTTACTGGGATTGTGTACATGTGGGGCATTTAAAAGGCAGTAACAGCAGAGAGACATGATAGAGTGCTCATAAGTGATGTGCTGTTCCAAATCTAAGCTTAAAATCATGCTATTTTATCAAAATCAGATTATTCTACATATTATTTAAAAGTTGAGTCATAAATAGACTGTTTGTGAGAACCAGAATCAGCAAAAAAACAAAACTTTGGTGCTCCTTGTTGCAACTCACAACCTACTAGTGACTTAGCTGCAATCAAAAGTCATATGACTAAAATTCAGGGACTTCTTGGCTGAACTGCAGGCTGTGTTTAAACAGAACACAGAGGAGACAAGTATGGAAATAAATTAAAGAGATAATTAATAATAGTATGTAGAGTGACCATTTTCCCCCAGTCATAGTATAACCTATAATGGGGGCACTTGGAAAAATGCTCTAAACGTTAAGTCCAGGTTTTGTAAAGTAAGTAATGAAAGAAATTCAACTTTTGTTTATGTACATTTGTTTTGATGATTTATGGCATTTTAACTATGCCTTATTGGATAAAAGACACTTTTGCATTCTCATAGTTGTGCTGTTTCCAGTGAGATGCAGGACTAATTTTGCAATGAAAAATGAGGTCACAGTGAGTAAAAATGTGACAGGAGCACTAAACGGCCAGAACTGCTTGAGGCTCAGAGGGTTAAAATAAAATAATAATACAAAAGTTTTATCTAGGACTTCTCTGTGATTTACATTATATGTGTTTTGGTTTGATTTAGTTTGAAATTTGTCATTTGTCACTGCAGACAAACAGTAAAGCGGCCGTAGTTTTCAGATTAATAAATGCAGAATCTGTAACATTTTTAAATGCTCAATATCATAAAGTTCTAAAAATTATTGTCCTTTCACATTAATTCAAGGGAATGGGAAGCACTGGAGAGGACAAGAGGGACTGAAACTGGGGATCCTATAGTCGCACAGCTATGGGGGAAGTGGAGGGCCGGGGGGATTCAAATGGGGGCCAGCAGGGATTGTCAATGGGTCAAATGAAAACAAGAAGAAATGCTTACTTTAATCAGGTTTAGTCTGTCATACTGAAAGAAAATTAAAGAGAAAACAAAATGTTAACCAAAGCAGCGAGCAACATGAACATAGAAAGAAATGGAAACTGAGAGAGAAGACGCTGAGCGCCAAAGAGTTTGTGGCTCGAAATACAACTCTGAGGTACAAAACTGCCGTTATAATGCAACAGTGTCAGAGGGTTTATGTTGTCACTGTGCTCCTAAACCTGACTGCATTTGGCCTACTGCTTATTATCGTTGTGCCATTGTCACTATTATCATCATTTATCCATTCTTGCACAGGGGCACGGTGGCACCTTTTCGCTGAATGAACTCATTTGGATTGCATTAGGGTTTGGGCGATCAGGCTCACGTGGCTGGGATGACCTCACGCCATGTCTGGGGTCATGTGACCACTGTGGACCACAGAGGCTCATGTGGGGTTTTTGCAGCAAGGGGGGTGGTGTGGGGAGGTTTTGAATAGGAGGAGTCATGTAATCAATTACTATTTGTATGAGTGAATGCATAGCAGCAAAGAAAGGAATGTCATTACACCAAACTCCCATTTACCAATTCTTCTGTCTGAGTCTGTTAAATTTTGACACAAAAGACCATTTTGCCAGGAGACCCTATGTACTGGCTTGTTAAATACTCAGCCTATATATTCAATGAGTGACAAAAAAGTGGGATGAAGTGTGACAAGTAGCAAATTAGATGGATGAAGCAACAATTCAGGCAATGCACTAAAACGTGACACCAGCCTGCAGTACGTTTGGACGACGGGAAGGGGGATTTTGGGCTTGTGGCGTGAGAAAAGGAGGGATTCTCTCATGTGGCTAAGAGAGGCTGCTCAAATAATGATGTAGTCCTGGAGCTCTGGACAGGGATGCTGGCAGGACTTTTTAAGAGTTTATCCTTCTACAGAAGGGCAGTTGCAGAGATAAAGCTCTTATTACCACAGTGTAACAGTGAGGTAAGTTTGTAAAGAGAGGTTTAGGACACACATCGGAGGAGGACAGAGGAAGATGAGAGAAAGGAATTTCGACAATTATTTGCAATATGGATTTTATTAGGGATTTGCACTAGAAACATTTATTTTTCATTACGGAAATATTTGACATAATCCTCTTCATAAATGTATGGGTGCAGTTGTTGTCTATACTGATCCTTTTATTTCTCTACATTTGAATTGCAAAAAAGAGCTTATCATGATCCTGATCAGTTTGTATAACAAGCTTCATACAAATATTGCATATTACAAGTAATTTGCTACATTTCATATCACCAGAAAGTTAAATAAACGAAAGAACAGTAGAGGACTGGGAAGGAGAGGAAGTGAGTGAAGTTGTGTGGGGTTATTGGGAGTAATATATGTCCATCTGCTATGGTTGTGGGTGCAGATGTGGCTTGCAACGGTCACAGTGTGCACAGGGGGCAGGCTGGGTTCAGGCTGAAGCATTCCAAACAGGGCTCGAACATTTCCACAGAGCAGCTCACAAGACAGGAGGCGTTGCAGAGGGGAAGGGTGGGCACAGAAATATTTGAAGAACAGAAAAAAAGAGTAATGCTTACTTTGGAAAGTCGCTTGTGAGACTAGCATGCAATCAGGAGAAGAACAAAGAAAAAAATCAGATCGAAAAAACGAAAACGAAACGAAATAAACTGCAAGAAGAAACAGCTGAAAGTACGAACAGAAGAGCCGAACAGTCATTAACAGTCAAGATGGCACACATTATCATATGGCATGTAGCAGCAGCAGCAGAGAGAGAAGGCGTGCACACTGTGTCGTGGAGACAAAAAACAGAGTGATTTAAAACAGAAGAGACAGATGAAGACAGAATGAGAAGGTCGATAAAGGAAAGAGTGGCATGGCTTCTGCCTAATGCTTTGGGAGCCCAAATCGGAGCCACATGCTCCTTTCATGAAACAACGTAAATGTGAAACTTGTCATCCATTAGTGATTTTTCTTGTGAAGAGAAATGCAAATGAGAGGGGGACAAGTTAAATAAGGACCTAGTCCACCTGAAACCTGAGGCAAAACAACTCAAAAATTTAATTTTTAGTCATTTAAAAAAAACAAAAAACAAACATTGTTCAGCAAGCCCCTTACATTTTGATATTTGTAAGATTTCTTCCAATTCTAGCCTCTAACCTTTATTAGGTTTAAAAATTCCCCAAACTGTGAGTACGCACCTGTTTTGTCAATATGACAGATACTCTAGTCTTGATTTCATCGTGTGTGACATTTAAAAAAGAAGCAAGCCAAGTGAAGCTTAGTTAACGTCAGATTAGTTAAGCCTCTGAACCCAAAATCGGTTGGTGTGTTTCAAAGCATGCTACATTCAAAAAAGCCCAAATTACACAATTTTTTTAGAGCTTTAAAATGTAAAATATGCTTTCTGATGGGATTTAAAAAGGTGATATGCACTTCTGTTGAGGCAACTGATAAAAGCTAAATTATTTATCTAAGCTCATTATCTACATGTCCATTTAAAAAAGTGCCAAAAAATATTCATTCACACCAGTGCAACTGAGAATCCATCACTGTCTCATCTGCCACCCGGAGTTATGGCAATTCTGTGACTATTTGACTGACTTTGATATACTTGATCAATAAAATAAATGCAATATGGCTGTGGGCACTGAATAATCATAATCAAAGAATTTCAGCTTTTGTTCTTACTTTTTTGATGCTTATGGAATTTTAACTTTGTTGTTCTGCACCACAGATATTTCTCTCTCTACTTCTAGTCGTGGCTGTACTGATTCCATAGAAGTGCAGGACTTTATAATTTGCCCACAGTAAGTAGAAATGTGATGGGAATAAAAACCAAGCAAAAATTGTTTGAGGTTCAGAAGGTTAACTAATCACAATTTAACTCTGTCTAGTACAGCAGGGTTTTACTACTTCATTGCAGAGCTAATGAGAGTACTGACTGGCAGCATTTCAATACTCAACCATCCTTTCTAACATTCAATAAAGGTTTTAGCAAGGGAGATATGACTTCAGAGACTGTGGAGCAAATGATATGTAAAAATGAAAGGCTGAAATGGAGAGAAGAGTGCGATCTCTCCAGAGGAGGGAGAGTGATAGTTACAGCTCATAACACGAAGTCAATAACCAATCATATCACATACGTCACTACAGTAGAAAAAAACAAACGAAGCAGGGCCAACTCTGCCGTAGTTATGCAGTCACAGTGAGCGGCTGCATACAAGAGTTTACATGTCATCGGGTCTGCCAAGTTACTCAGACGATAACAAATGTAATGCAAGATGGCCGGCTGGTGCCGTAGTTTGGCAGGAATAAAATCACAGAGAAAAGCATGTGGCTGCTAGTCTTACTTCAATATCCTTTTGATTTATTTATGCTTTTAGCAAGAATGTTACAGTCTTACTCCATATAAACATTTAGATTGTACAACCAAACCTTCACATGAACTCTCAAATTTGTATTACTGTATTTGTATTAACCCTCTGAACCCCAAAACCTGTTGGTGGGCTTGAAAGGCATGTTTTCTTTAAAAAAAAAGTTTCAAAACCATTTCACCATATATCAGAACCAGAAAGAGTAAAAAACAGAAAAAACAGACAGATTTTCAAATTTCGGATGGCCCTTGAACTTACTGTTTGTGACTTACAGTTTCAGCTGGAGATGTAACCAATTTCATATCTGGATATTTCAAGAAAATGACTTAATTCAATATATCTCATTGAAAAAATGGCCCACATTAACCATTTACTCTGTCCTCATTCTGTAAAAACCCAAAAATTCTTAATGTTTTGGCACAACAGTGAAGTCACCAGTGAGTCAGCTGTGGCCAACAATTATATGACAAAAATTTAGGGTTTTTGGTTGAACTTCGAGCTGCATGGCGGCTTGGTGGTTAGCACCGTTGCCTCGCAGCTAGAAGGTCCCCAGTTCGCGTGGAGTTTGCATGTTCTGCCCGTGGCAGCGTGGGTTCTCCCCGGGTTCTCTGGCTTCCTCCAAAAACATGTTGAGGTTAACTGGTGATTCTAAATTGTCCGTAGGTGTGAATGTGAGTGTGCTTGGTTGTCTGTCTCTAAGTGTAGCCCTGTGATAGACTGGTGACCTGTCCAGGGTGTCCCCTGCCTTCGTCCTGAGTCAGCTGGGATAGACTCCAGCGATCCTGGTGAGGATTAAGTGGTGTATAGATAATGGATGGATGGATGGTTGAACTAAAGGCTGTCTATATGAAACATGTGAAAAATCTAAGTAGCAAAGTATCTGTAGTGTGTAGAGTCTGCCTTGTTTTCCAGTACTGGTAACAGCTGTGGACAAGACAAAAAAAATGCTGATTCTAGGTTTCTTCGGGTTTTGTAAAACAAATTATCAAAGAAATTCAACTTTTGCTATCTGTTTTCTTAAAATTGTATGGCATTATATGGGTGCCTGGATAGCTCAGCGGGTAGGGCAGGCGACCCATGTACAGGGGCTACAGTCCCTGACGCAGCGGCCCGGGTTCGATTCCACCCAGCGGCTAATTTGCTGCATGTCATTCCCCCACTCTCCTCCCCATGTTTCTCTGTCTGTCTTTCACTGTTGCTGTCAATAAAGCCGGAAAAGGCCAAAAATAAATCTTCAAAAAAAAAAAAATTGTATGGCATTATAATTGTGTCATACGAGACAAAAGTCATTTCTGAGTTCTCTCTTCTTCTAGCTGTGGTTGTGCTGTTTCCATTCAGGTGCAGGACTTCATATTGCAGTAAAAAGAGCCCACAGTGAGCAATAATCTAACAGGAGTACAAAATGCTTAGAAACTGCTTAGGGTTCAGAGAGTTAAAGCGGATGCAACAATTACAATTTCCAGTGTATGGAGTCGTAATGTGTGCTACTTACATTTTTGGTCAGACTCCGCTCATAGTTTCAAAGAAGTATCTTTGGCCTTATCCTGATTGGTCTAACCTTAATGTATGTCTGTAAAATTGGCGTCCTGTGTTTCAGGGCCTTTGACAAGATAGTCAATGAAAATGTTAGGGCAGCTTTATGCTGCACTACTGAGGATCTGTCTTCACAGTGCACTCTTTCCAGTGGAAAGGAAACACTGTTGAGCCTTTTTGACACAGCTACGTGTGGGTTTAGTGGTCAAAATCCTCAGAGCTAGAGAAATAAATATGTCTTGAACATGGGTGAAAGTGCACCACATTTCAACCTGTGAGACTACCTTTCAGTTCTATCAGATGGCAAGAGTAAGACTGCTTCAAACAGGTAAACAGGAGCGTCTCCTGGTCACTCACCTTTGAGTTCTTTCCCCCGCTTCGTGCTGACTGCAGGGAATACGTTCTCTGGACAACCTGCTCAGGCGTGGAGGGGGACTTGTCAGAGGAGTGGTCTGAACCCTTCTCCACCATGTTCTCACCCTCCTGGCTCTGTGGTGTGGGAGAGCGCGAGCGTTTACGCAGGACTGGTGAGCAGGCGGGTGTGCTCTTGTTTGAGTTACTGGCAGTGCTAAAAGAAAAGAGGAGAAAAGAAGAAAGAGGGAGGAGAAGATCATTTCCACATTCATCCCAGTGCTATTTACTTTTACAACAAAAGTTAAGATGCAACATATCGACCTCTATGCAAGACAGTGCCATTCATTTACAGGCCAGTGTGGACAGCAGCACAACACAAACACTGTTTCCTCAGACTTACATCACTTGAGGCTTAACAGGCTTGAAGCACCATGTGCTAACCTGGCTAATAACGGCTAAGCTGATACGGGAACTCCACATCAACAACAACAACAACAACAATGAGGAAAACAAATACTGTAAGATGTTGTCACACACAGGTCCAGAGGATTTTCTCAGTAATATGGGGTATATATAGCAACAAGGGAAGGAATCTGTGTGTATTTTTAGCTCATTGTCAGTTTAAGAAATTTACTGGAAAATCATCAGCTGTTCATTTTAACTTATGTGAAACTTGACTCCCTACGGAATTTAAGGATCTTTTTTGCTAAAATGCTACAACAAGGGGTACATGATGAAACGGCAGGTTAATCGAAATTGAACAACAGCACAATATTCTGTTATCTCAAATTGTGTTGCATATAAATTTGCTGTAATATCTAACAGATCTCCAGCAAACTGGAGGGACTGTTATCTTAAAACAGGCAGTGCCAGTCTGTCTATCGTACACTAAGTTCCTATCAGGTAGCCTCTGTGATCCAGAACTAGACACTCACTTCTCAACACACACGCACACACACACACACACACACACACACACACCAGTGGCTCAGCAACAAGCCTTCTCCTCACAATGACAGAAGCTAACAAAAGGCTCTGTAAGTGATCTGTGTGACAGTGCGCCTGCCAGGCCTGGTTACTTGACATGGCGTTATGCAAGCCATTACGTCACTGCCAGCCAATGGCCGCCGTCATTGGCCATGAATTACTGATCTACTGTTACATGCAGGACTTTGATGCAGCTTAGAGTCCTGAATCAGAGAGAGCCGCGTTGACAGCTTCTGTCTGACTGTCGGGGTCTTCTCTACCAATAGATGGTTGATTTTAAAAGGCAAGGACATCACAGAGCCTTCCCATCTGTTTAATGCAGCGAGATAAATAATGCACGTCTGGTGTGTTATGGTACCTCTGACATCAATTTATATGATTACCAAATGGTCTGCTGTTCTGCGGATGATCATTCTCCCTGCAGTGTACATTGTGTACTCTGCATTGACTACTGATTAGTCCTTCCTGACATGATTAGGAGTAAATGAATGGAAAACCTCTCTTAAAAACCATTAATTGTTGAAAATGTATGCCATTTATGGCACCGCTCAGTGGCAGGTAAATGCCAAATGAGACTGCAGTTTGAAATCTCTGCAGTTCTACTACACATTTATTACTACTTCTTGTGTTTTTTCAGTGTTTTATATTATTTCTGGATTATAGAGTGGTTTACGTCACCTGTCAGGGTATATCATGCACCGCAAAATGGTAGGAAGCTGACTGCGTTCATATTGAGCACGCAGGATAATCAGTGTTCGCTCCAGAAGACTGCCCATGTTACACAAACATACAGCACACAAGCCATTTGGCAGAACCAGGCGAGGTTTCAGTTTAGCAGAGGTGCTAAGCAGCTCAGACCCTGTTGCATCTCTTTTGTGAAGAGTTTTGTTTGTGGGCGACATCTTAAACAACTTCCACATTAATCATTGAATATATAAGAAGAATATATAATTTGTTATGTAAATCAGCACCTGTGGCTACATGTGTTTTTTTTCTTGTTTCATAAGTGTATACATTTTTTATAAAGTAAGCAGAGGTGGTCTTTATTTCAGGCACGGCACATCAAGACACTGTGGAAAGCCAATGTGCATGGTGCTTGGGTGATGCAGAATGGCACGTTCTCATGAGCGCAGCACACAGCTGTTGTGTTTTCCGTTCCTGGTTGATGTGTAAACCAACATGACGCAGGAACAGCCCAGTGAACATCCTGTGTGTGTCTTTTTGGAGTTCAACACTGAATGTGGAGCAGAGAAAATTAGTTGTTTTTTTTTTTTTAGGTCTTGGAGGCATTTCATGACTAGTCATTAAAAACTTCGGTTGAACTAATTTCCATTTTCTATTTTTAGGTGGGAAGCGGTGGCACTGTTGTGTCACAGCAAAAAGGTTCTGTGTTCGATTCTGCTGATTTGCTGGGGGTCTTTCTTTTTGAAGTTTGCCGGCTTGGGTTTTCTCTGCGTGCTCTGGCTGCCTCCCACAGAGTGCACGGCAGGTTAATTGGTGATTCTAAACTGGCTGGAGGTCATGAGCATGCATGTTGTTTGTCTCTTTGTATTGGCTGTGTGATGGACTGTTCAGTGTCAGCTGGGATAGGCTTCAGCCCCCCTTGAACCTCTACAGAATAAAGCAGCTAAATCTAATGGATGGATGGATTATTGAGTGGGATGCGACCCCTCTTACTCTACGGCAGGTACATGCTTAACAGTACTTGTTGGGCTTGCAATAGTCTGTTGTCTGTCTTGTGTCTTCTCTGACAACAGAGGGAGTTTTTTTTTAGTAAAGATTGCAGTCCAGGGACAACTTGGTATTCCAAATTCTATCAATCAATTAAACTCCTTTTATATTAATTTCTAAAGATTACACCATCAATTATACAATTTCAAAGTACAATTTGATGACTTGGGTACAAAACAATACCCATTTTTGAAATACAAACGAAATACAGAGTTTGTATTACAAAATCAATTTTCCCAACATGGTATTGGGTGTAAGTAAATAGGTTATTCAGTTCAATTTAATAGTTCAATTTAATTCAGTTTAATTATTTGTCCCCTGGGGGCAATTCAAAGGCATGTAGAGCAGTTGGACACAGAACGGTACATTAGTTATGTAGTTAGTCAAAACTAAAACCAGGTATAATCAGTAGGTGACGTGTTGTTGTTTTTTTTTTTTTGCTGGGATGGCCCAGTGGGAATTCTCCCCTACACCAACACCGCCAACCAACACACTCACCTATGTAACTGAATTCTTGGCATTACAACAGCAATTACAATTTCAGTTTGACAGAACTGCTAAAACGTTAAGAACATATTTTGTGCAGGTATATTCTTTTACTGGACATTAAGCATTTTTGTAATGCTTAATTTTCAAAACTGGGGTAGTTTAGTTTTTAATGGTCAGAGTAGTCACAGCTCCGCTTCAACGGTACATTAAACATCCATCCATCCATTATCTATACACCGCTTAATCCTCATTATGGTTGCGGGGGGTCTGGAGCCTATCCCAGCTGACTTAGGGCGAAGGCAGGGGACACCCTGGACACCTTGACAAAGGTTAGGACTGAGAGAAAAAGGTGCAATCTCAAATGTGCTACTTAAGCACAACAGACAGTGCTGTGAAATTGTCAAAACACAGCACAGTCAGTCTTTGTTTAGACTGCTGGCAAATCAGATTCTCATATCAGATCTTCGGGACAGGCAGTCTGCAACTAATCTTCATTGGTTGCTGTGTTAACAGGCTGTTAACACATACACAAAAAACTAGTTTTTGTCAATTTAGTAAATTCTAAACCAATTAAAAATTATCTATTAATTTCCATATACTTGGAAATATTTTTGCTTGAATAGTAACAACTTGGTAGGCAATTATAAATCTTTGGCTATTGAGGAAAACTGATGAAAATTCAAACGACGACATTCAAACAGAAATGCAGTGGAGTTTGATGGAGAAAACAAACAGATCATACAGACAAACAGTAACTAACAGTCACTATCATGGCACACTGGTGAGACTGCTTTCCAACATGGAAACATAAGAAATGGAAATCCACCATCTTGCCCACAACAACAGTCTGCCAGTTCTATATATTTTGGCACTTGTCCACCACAGATTGGTATTCTCCATGTTTTCGTCCACAGCAGTGCTCGTAGCAATCAATCTGGAAACAGTCTGGATATACCAAAAGCTGATTTGAATCTGAACAAGGTCTTTTGATATTTCACAGCTATGGTCAGGGCCATAGACTTTAGTTTGCACAAACCTCAGGGAAATAAAAGATCAGTTTGTCAGGTAGACTAGACTGACATATTCAACTAAACATCCTTTCTGGCCCTGCAGTCCCTCTGCTATGAGATGATAGAGAAGGGGGGAAGGAAGGTCAACAAGTTAGATGTATTTTGGTCATTTTGCTAACAAGAGGAATGGCATCCCCACTCCTATCATATCCTGGGTATAACCACACCAGGTGAAACACAAAAACTATATATCTAAAACAGCTTGTCAACCATGTACAACTAAATTAGTATCGGGGACTTTGTGTAATTTGATGACTGAACTCTAAAACTAATAACCAGAACTGCAGAACTCATTCTTGACAACTGGGATTATCAGCCAACACAGATATATCTTGAGCGAGAAGATTACCCAGAAGTACAGAGTGTCTCAAACCATGAAAAATGTGCTAGTTGGTACAGTGTTTAATCCAAATAAATGTATCTATAAACAGTATATTTATAGCAATCTAACAGATACCAAATGTCAGTAGGTCCCATCACCTACATCACCTACTGCACCCATCACCACTGCACAGTCTAATGCAAACAATGTCCTGTGCAAATACCACCAATTTCTCTGCCTATGCAGACAAAGACAGCACCTTCATACAATGTGCCAGTGGTTCTCAGCAGGTTAGGGCTGAAAGGTGCAAGACTGGGTTGTGTGAAATCCAGATTAATGCAAGTCTGACAAGTAGCTTGGTTGCTTTGGTGAAAACAATTGAGACCAAAGACAACATTACATACAGAAAAATTAGTGTCATCAAGAAAAGCAAAGAATGCCTGAAGAGCAATGCATAACGCATTTGGTAACAGAAACTAGCAAATACAAGAGAAAAAACATCAAAAAAACATTGCTCATCTGTTCATCTGCTTCACCTCCATGCAGAAAGTCACAGAATCTGTCTGGGACAGGAAGCCTCACTTGTTGTTTTTGGCGAAAGAGGAATTAACGGATCACCTCTCCTTTCCAGATACATGGCAGTAAACAATGCAAACACTGATCCATCATCAGCATATGAATGACTAAACCCGACCAGTCATTCACACAACAGTTTGCTCTTTGAACCAGCATGGTAAGTGTGGATGGAGCGAACATGCAGCTGAGAAGAGCAGACAAAAGCATCTATCACAAGTGTTTTGTTAGTAACTGCTTCATGAAACACAATACTGAGACATAAAGCGAGAGTACCTGTCAGAGCATTATCTCCTGACTGTAGTGCCTGGGGAATTTAATGAATGACAAACAATGAGTTCAGACGTAAGCTGTAGAATATACAGTCCAGCACCATGTCTACTATGACAAACCTATGATATATTGGTTACTGCAGATGCTATGAGGTGCAATAATATAAAAAAGACATATACTGTATGTACAAAATGATTGTTTTCAAATCAAATTTTCATTCAATAGGAAATGGTTTTAGCACCACTCACGAGTCACTGAGTTATACAGTTGGACTAATTAAGTGACCTGAAGACTGCTCTCTGTCTACATCTTTCTTAAGTGACATATTACCAAGAGCCGACAAACAATTTAACAATTAAAAAGCCATATCACTTGGAGCACCGCCCACCTGACTACAAAGCACAAATAAAGCTCAGCCCAGAACGAATATTGCTATAGCAACAGTGAACAGAGAGAGTGGTTTAAATATTCAATGTGTGCGACTAAATATACTCAAGCAGCTCTGCTGTTAGAGATGCTGTCTGAGCAGGAAATACAGCAGGAAGGTAATGCGACAGACCATACCGCACGTCCCACCTGGGCTCAGTTAGTGCACATTTAATGATGAGCTGATATGTCAATGACTTAATACCAATATTTATCGCTCAAACACTGATTATGAACTTTGTATTTTACAATATTTTGGGATACTGAAGAGGAAATTCATTCTAAAGTTGAGTGAAATGTTTTTAATCGGATACATGCAATAGAAATGGCTATGAGAAGAATTTCTGTGTACATGAGTACAGCTTGCATAATGAGGAATACCTACAAGAATCCTCTGTGGTTGAAAGCAGTAACTTTCATTGAGCTTATGATGTTCATTGATAAATGAGTGATAAATGATGACTGAATGATGAATGAATTTATTGATTATGCACACTGAAGAGCACCTGTTACAAAGCAACAATATGACTGTTATCCTGTTCAGTCCAATAAAATGGAAAATGTTACAGTCAATAAATCACAACTGATTTTGATCCAAACTTCTTTCAGCTAGCATGGTAGCTTTAAATTATTAAAAATATTGAATTCTCAATTTTTTGAACTGCACAGCATATTCATTTGCATACTATGCCAGAAAACTTGATCCCAGAGGCTCGAATATAGAACTCATCTGCATTACAGAGCTCTGCACAGAGACAACTGACTTCAAGGTGCTGATCAGAGGGGATCCTGACATGTCAGAGTCACTCGAAATAGGTCAAGTTCTTACATACACAGTGAAAGGGGAAAAAATGAAAGAAAAACAAGCCTGCTGTTTGCACCACTTTGTTACAGTCTTTTCTTTAAATAAGCTCTAAAGCTTTAAATCCAACCGGCTCAAGCTGTCCAAACGCTCAGCTTCACAATAGAACAGAGTTCCGGGCCTTTCTGAGGGCCCCACTTGTTTTCACAGTTTTGCTGACCCTGGAAAATACCCATCTGGCAGTGACCCTTCAGCTCTGCTCGGTTTGAAAAGACCATGAGGAGCACCACGCTCACCGGCAACCACTGCGCATGCACACACAGGACTGCGCATACAGTACACAGAAGCAGACATAAACATGGGCATGCGCGTGAACACGGAGCACATACGCCCACCTATTGCAGAAATACATAACAGCCCACTCTGTTTCACTGAACTGATAAAATTAGTAGCATCACGCACGTAATCTGCAAAACAACACAAACTAAACCACCTCTGCATTTTAATGCACCCATGCACGGTGCAGATTATATAAGCGAAGCCATCCCACCCCACCCATCCACACTCTCTGGCACATAACACATACGCACACCCTCATACATGCATCACAGAGTCCGCCATACCCATGCTGAAAGACACAATCCCTCAACACCTCGCCGTAGCAGCCCTCAAGGCAGCGACAGCCCTCGTTGGCCACCGCCACACACTCAAACACCACCATATCCTCGTAGGCAACTCCCAGTAATGAGCTGTTCACCCAGCGGATCATCCCACGGACCGCGCGTTGCACTTTCTTTTCCCGCTCCGTGTACAAGAAGAAAGGTAGCTGGACAGATAAACAGAGAGAGAGAGGGAGGATGAGAGAGAGAGAGAGAGAGAGCGAGCGAGAGAGAGAAAAGGTGGAAGAAGCAGGCAGGGAGATTTTCTTTAGCAGGCTTAGGGCCACTGATCTTCCCCGACCAGCTCTGATCTCCTAATAACCAGCTTACATTGCCCTTAACACCCCCTGCCAAAGAAGAAACATTGGTGGTCTGAGGTGCAGGTGCCCCCCCCCCCCTCCGCCTCGGACTCTCCTTTTAAATAGCAGATCTCGCCGAGCAGGGAAGTCGATCATTATGCAGGTTCCATGTAGTTTGGGGCTGAACGCAGGCAGGTAAAGCAGGCAGTTGTTCCCAGCACTAACCTGCTCGTAGCCATGTAGAGAGCCGCTCCGCAGCGATCACCCCCTTTCAAACGGCTTCATTCATGCAGTGGGAGCCTCGGATGAGGCACAGGAGGAAGGAGAGGAGGTGGATGAGGAGAGGGGGGAGAGGAGAGACGAGAGAGAGGGATGAGGGATAAAGGGGAGGAGGGTGGACGAGTTCCGGAGCATGCCAGGAAGATGAGAGGGAAAGGAGGAGGAAGCGGACGCAGCAGAGGGAGATAAAAAGAACGTATTTTCCCAACAGATGGAGAGACACCAGTGAAGCTGGATATCACACTTTGTTTTTCCTTTTGTCTCTATCATTCACTCTCTTCTCCTTTGTCTAATGGAGGCTGATAAGCTCCCGCTTGCTCTTAGCAACCTGCACTTTTCCATCCCCCCTTTTTCTTCCACCGCTCTCCCAGCCGTTGGATCATCTGCCTGCTTATTGCTTCCCCCTAGTATCCAAGTGAGGCTCTTCTCTTGCGATTTCTGCTCCTGGTTCACAGAATTTCACGGCTGCAGATCGACAATAGATGGAAGGAGATTGAGAGAGAATGTGCAAGCCAGGCTAAAGAGGGAGAGAGAGAGAGAGAGAGAGAGAGAGAGAGAGAGAGAGAGCGAGAGCCAGAGAGAGAGCCAGAGAGAGAGAGAGACAGAGGCAGAGCAAATGAGGAAAGAGATGGCTTTCACTTTGCATTCCACCTCTACTCGGTGCTGATGCACTGAGCCTGCTGCTTCCTCAATTATTCATGTGTTTCATGAATGGAGGGGCTGACATCACTGGCATTCAGGTCACTTTACATTCGAAGCTCCTTCTAAATCACATAATAAGTGAGGCCAGGCTTTGTGGTAAACACCTTTCATTTGTTCAGACACACACAGACACATGCAAATCCACTTGTTTTTTGGTTTTGGTTTCCCACCCCCTGTTGAAAACTAGACATGTAACTTACAGTCAGTAATTAGCAAGAGTAGATCAAGAAGTAGGTTTTCTCAACATTAAAATATCAAATAAAACCATTTTTAACATTGATGTTTTGTTATTTCACTGTCCCTTCAGGCCACTGTGTTCCCATTGTGCAATATGTTCCCATAAATACAGAAAAAATAAAATATGAAAAATTGTCCGTTTTGTATCATTACCATTCATTTGATTTTGTATGTTTTTTATTTCATTTCATTTGTACAGCATCCAGACCCCCCCAAAAATGGCCTTTTAATACAGTCTGAAGAACAGCTTTGGTCATTAGTCATCCCTGTTGCAGTGTAAAGAGCTGCCTTAAGTTAATTTCATTGATGTTAATTTTGTATTTGAAGGACCAGCCGCAACATTAACAAAACATGCCCCCTAAATGTAAAGGAAAATGTGATTTAAACTTCAGATGAATTTACAGTACTTTTCCCTAAATCAGTTAAAACAAATTATTTCTTATGGTAGGACTACACGATTATGATGTCTCATTTAAAGATTCTTAAAGTCCATTTGTGGAATGGAAAAGTGCCTAAATTATCTGAAGCTTGTATTGTTTTATGGCAGTTCTACTAACAATAGTGGATTTAAAATGGTTCTATGATTTGTTATGTCACAGTCAGAAAAGCACAGGTGTACATAATAAAATGAATCATGTCTAAATCCCACTGTTCCCACTTCAGGGTGCTGGTATTTTATATGCTGGCTCATGGCCACACTGGTCAAATTCTATCCAAACTGTTTTACATTTCAGACAAAAAAAAACAAAACAAAAAAAAGCTAGAGAAAGAAGACGTGTGTGTCCATCTATTGCCATACGGTGCATTATGTTCATGCTTGTTTTATATATTGATCCCAAAAAAGATATCAACTCATCTCTTTACACAAATCTGATGTGTATGTCCTTTAGTTTCATCGGTGGGTCTGAATCAGTGACAAACAGGTCCATATTTCATGCACCTAAGTTTAAAAGCCTTGTTGCACTCTGTTTTTAGAAATGTACCAACTTTTTAACCTCTGTGTGGCAAAAAACAAAACAAACAAACAAAAAAACACAATTCAGATTTTCTTTTCCAATTTCCCAGCATTCACTTTGGGGTTACGCGCAAATCTAAAATGTGTATAAAAGAAGGTGGATGAAAATGCAACTACTGTCACATCATGCTGGAACCATCAAAAAGCATGGTTCATGTGCCTAACCTACTATAAAAAGTCCAAATATCCACAGTGCGGAAGGCCAGTTATAATGATTAAAATGTTAGGAATGATAAAGACATATGAAATTCTCCTTAACAACATAATTTGGAACATTACTAGCCTGTGAAATTCAGTTGTTACCTAAAGCTTTGTTGGAAGAGGCCTAATTTCAAACATGCACATAGGTCAATCAGCTGTTGCAGAAAATGCCAGTTATATCCTGAAATCTTTATCCACATGACTGGAACTGGATGGAGAATACAACAGTTATGGTAGATGCATGGTTACTGTAGTGTTTATGAATTCTTTCGTAAACATGTTTCCACGTGAGACTTAAGAGACAAAAAATCTTCAAAAAAAAAAAAGTCAGCTATTGCCATTTACTAGTTACAATCAAATGACAACACGAACTGTCAAATATATATTTCACTGTATTTCCACAGCTCATTGTTTTAAGTGGAATCATATTAAGCCTAAACCAACACTAGGAGGCCTAACAAACATGGCAGGAAAGGTAATTTTAAGGGAATTCACTCACATTTACCTCTATTACCACAGTCAGTAATCACCTCTGCAGTGTTTCCTCTAGGATGTTTTTCAGCAGCGGGAGCAGGCTCCCCAGGGAGCGGTGGCAGCAAAAACAAATGACACTTGACTGCAGATTTTACTTTTACAACCTATTTATTGAATGGCCAGTTGAAAATGGCTTTTTAAAGGCTGAATGTAAATTTAAAAATAAAATAAAATAAAATGCTATTAAATACATAAAAATTAAAACAATAAATAATAATTTCTTGATGGGGCTGTAGAATGAGTGGCAAAGTTTGCACCCAGACTGAATTTCTCTGGGTTTTTGTATGGAAGCGCTCTAAGGCTCTGTTGGAGGGAATTTCTCCAAGAGGTGGCCGCTGATGCTCAGCAGCAGACAAACTGCCAGCTGATCCCCTGCAGCCTGTTTTAGAACATTCCTATCAGGACAGAGTAAAGTGGCATTGCTGATCATTGCTCTTACAATGGAAATACACGGAATTTATTTATTATTTTATTTTATGTTTTTATTTATTTAACAGTAATATTGACCTGTATATTATGCAACAAAAAAAATAAGAAAGGGAAAAAATGGTTCATGTACACTCCCCATTATCAGTGTGGTAGAGCCTTGAGTGGAACTGGCTATTTTTTTCAACCCATGTTGGGTCCCAGCCTGACCGCCTGAGCTCCCCTTTAGGTTCTCCTCCTCTACTCTCATCTCTCTCTCCTGCTCCTCCACTCGGCTCTCCTTCACTCTGTTCCACTGGTCCTCCCTGTCTAATGTTACTTGTCTTATACGATTACATAAAACATTAACGTTAGATCATTTACACTCATATCACATCTGATTACAGTGTTAACACTACTTTTTTACCAAACCATCATCATTTATGAGTCAGTAAAAGGCTAATGAAAGCTGGCTAGCATCATCTTCATCAGGTGTCTTCCTCTTCTTAGAGAAATATTTGAACAAGCTTATATGAAGATGCAGTCAGCCGTTCCATCATGGCGTGTAGATATTAGCTTGATGCTATCAGCTAGTTTACTCATGTTAGCGACACTGAGTTGGCATCGGGCCCAATTAACTTACGCTACCGATATTTTGCGTAACGTTAGCTGGCTATCAATATTTTGCAAATGTCTATTCAACTTGTTAAATTTATTCTGAGTTACCGTAAGCTAATAAGTCTACCTTTCCTCCGGTAAGTGGCTGCCCTGTTCTCCAGGACGACCCTCCTCTGACTCTCTGACCTGGAGCCTGGTGATGGACGTGACGTCACTTTCAAGGCCGCGCTCACACGAGTAATTACTGTCGTATTAGCCCCCAAAGAGTAGATACTGAGCAAGATAGTTATCTGTAGTTTACCTTAGTACGTCTTGCGAGTACCCGACCCAGTGCAAGACTCTGCTGTGAAGGTGGAGGCATGTGGCGGTGGTGTATTATTTTTAATTTAAAAAAAAAAAAAAGAGAAATTTGAAGGAGCGACGGCGAGGATTAAGGAATGGCGGCCCGCCACTCCTAAATGAATGTAGAGGAAACACTGCTCTGTATCTCTATAAAAAAGCAAACTGGACTCTTAGATGTGCTGCTGGAAAGACTTGACCCCGGGGCTGCAGCAATGCTGGCTGCCTCTGTGGGAGCGCTGAGCAGAGCCATGCTATGGAACAAAGGGAGCTGGTCCACTGAGTTGGACCACTGTGTGCCCAGATAAGCCTGCCGAGCCTCACACCAACAACTGACCTACTTAGAGGACCTCTGGTCTCATTATTGTTGCACCCAAGAGACACGCAGATGGACAAACTGACCACACACACATGGTATGTAGTGGACATCCATGGGTGCATAGATGTTGACTACCTCATCCTAACCAGTGATGACTGACAG